AAACAAGGTAAAACAACTTCTACACAACTAAATGATACTGCGATCACACAAAGTGCCAAACACCATCTTGATCTGTATACCTTCGATTAGAATATCTAAGTAAAATTGCCAAACAATGCACTGATAACAGCTGGAAAATGAATACAGTTGTAAATCAATCCAGCCATTTGGCCTTTTTAAATTGTTGCAAATATTATGGTATCGCTCCGCGATTCTGCAATCTAATAAAGAAGTGTAATTCGGACACAGATAATTAGATACTTTATAACCTCGCCACCCAGAAATTAAAGGAAAGTTACGAGACTGAGAGACGTAAGCTATTTGACTTCATAGATCTCAAGTCTACATTAAGGAAGAATCTATATATGGCTCTTAATTTGAATGATTTTCAAAAAATCCAGAGCATAACCGAGCAGTAGTCACAGAGGTTTCACGATATGATAAGTAAGAAACATGACAAGAAATTGATTATCGATGGGATAATAAGACAGCGCAAGATCAAGCTAACCCAAGTAAATTTTGATGGGTCTTTATTAAGGGCATCAACTGCTACAGATGACGATATAATTAAGGTTATAAGCCTATCTCCAATCCCTTTTGATTTAGAAACTACGAATCTTTTAAAAAGGGGTTACATATTTTTTCCTTGGTAATGAAGGAAACGTTATTAGTGATATTCTGCTGCAAATTGTCAACATACCCGATAAATATCCAGAAGAGATAAGGTGAAAGCTAAAACTAAATATAATCATACGGATGCTGACACATTAAAAACCCATAAACGGGAGCAGATTAGGTGATATTCGGAAGTAAGTATAAAATAATGATTTAATGATTCTTCAGACGGATAAAGAGGAGCGACGGTTGCAATGGACAGAAAAGAGTACATGGACAGAATGGAAAGTATCCTTGTCAACCGGAACACTTATTAAAAAACTAAAGAAGGATCTAACCACGATGATTAACGGGACATCAAAGAATATGCTCAAGGAAATGCATAGTACTGGGAAAAATGACAGATGGATGATGAAATCTTTGATAAAAAATGACGCAGGACCACCGACATCCTACAGACTATCGAAGATACACAAGAAAGGAAATTCACTAAGACTAATAGTTAACAACAAACAAGGAGCAATACACAAACTAGAAAAGATCATTTGCCTGAAGCTCAGAAAAGTAAATGACGGGCTCTAAAATACCGTCAAGAATTCATATGAATTTTCTCAAAGGATCCAGAACATTGGGTTGTTGGGGTCAGAACTCTTGGTGAGTTTTAATGTACACAAACATATCAGGCTAGAAAGTGGTAAGCGCCTTGCTGGAGATATTGGAGTGAGAATGGGATATCCTGGATGCAGAACGGATATAGAAAAAATCGTTAAGACGACTCATAAACCTGAGAGTAAGGACAACACATTTCACATTTAACAGAAGTATCTACGAGGAAATATTTGGGCTACCGATAGGATCTTTACTCACCTTTTTTGGCAAATATGTATATGGATAAGATAAAAAAGAAATTCGAGAAGTTACCACTTTAACCAAGAGCGCTTATGCGATACATGGATGACTACTTTGCATTTTGGTCATATGGTAAGGAAAATTTAACTGAATTTCTTAATTTTATTAACGAACTTGGAGGAGGATAAACGACTACCCTTCTAAATATTAAAGATATGCCCTATAAACGGACACTCATTATGAGACTATACAGAAAGAATTCATATGCAGAAAAAAAATTTAATTTTTAATCTTACCATAACTACAGACTAAAGATCGGAATATTGAAGAGTTTGATCATCGGAAGACATGATATAACAGATAAAGACAGTAAAGCCGCGATGGAGACTAAATAATTTTGGCTAACAATAAACGTATTTGACCATAGACGTGATCATTAAATCACGAATATTGTTAGCTAACTAGCCCTAGCTTCCACTGCATCTATCCTCTTTATATCTATAACACCAAGTCTATGATTTATTATACCCTAGTCTCTTGTTTGCCAACCCACAAATGTTGTGGTTAAACATTGAACCTAATCAAAGCAAACACTACCAAAAAATTTGTTGGTTAGCACACAAGATACTAAGGCATAGCAAGTCATAGACTTGGAATTACGGATAGAAACAGGATAGACGCGGCGGAGACAGTATATCTATTTTAACATAGATGTGATCCATGTAGCAAAGGCTCAAACATGAGACTTACTCAGAGACTTTAGCCTCGAATTAGTCAGCCAG